AGTGAATAAACGCAGATTTCTAATGCAGCACCCCCTCTCCCCCTCATACATCTTTAGCATAATATTCTGTACAATTTCAAAGACAGAACACGGGGGTGCCATAAGAAAAAACCACCCTTGGTTGGGAAAATGTCGAGAAACACCTTCGAATGTCTAAAAATTCCTACAAAAGTGAAAAAAGGCAGAGTTCTAGCACAGTATCCCTTTTCGATATCTATAGCATAATACTCAGTACAATTTCAAATGCAGAACTCGGGGGTGCCATTAGAAAAAACTACCTTTAGTTGGGGAAATGTCGAGAAATATCTTCGAATGTCTAAAAATTCCAACAAAAGTGAAAAAAGGCAGAGTTCTAGCGCAGCACCCTCCTTAGATATTTCCAGCATAATACAAAGTACAATTTCAAAAGCAGAACTCGAGGGTGCCATTAGAAAGATCTACCCTTGCTTGGGAAAATGTCGAGAAATACCTTCTAATGTATAAAAATTCCCACAAAAGCAATATCTATTTTCCCAACTAAAAGTAGTCTTTTCTAATGGCACCCCTGACTTATGCTTTTGAAATTGTACAGCATTGTACAGAAGCATATGAATAAACTACCTACAAAAAATAGAGATGTACCATCCCAACCTCCTGCAACCCCCAGATTTTAACTCCTAAAATTGTTTTATTAAAAATGATCGGGAGCCGCTGAAGTGTCAAAAAACGACGTTTAAGAATTTTTATTTTTTCGCTTTTTGCCTGTAGCTTCGCCGCCACTGGATCGATTTTATGAAACTATAAAGCTCTCTCGACCTTGACGTAGTAGTAACCTTGTGTCAAAATTCATCAAAGTCTCAACGGTACCTTTCATGTTATAGAAGGGTCAAGGGTTAGCGGACTGACAGACCGCTCATGTCATGTCCAAAAAAACATATCTTATTTTCAAGGTTGTTAGAGATTACAATACTTCCTCTTCAGTAGCATAGGAAGTAAAAGGATCGTCTTAAGAAATCGATTAGAATAGAACTATCAGCAAAAAGTCAATGATCCATAACAATGCGCACATCTAATACGCGAGTCCCTTACCTAAACGACTACATTAAGAAACAGACGCAGCGGCGCTATAGCCAAGCAGAATCACACAGCAACCCTCTGTTGCGCGAGTCCGTGGACTACACTGTCAAGGAAGTTCGCAAGCACAAAAGGCCGCGGCTCACACTGTAATCAAAATTAATTTGTGAAAAAAATTGGAGCATTTTGACAAAATCCTTGAAAAAATCAAAAATTTTCAGACCATATCAAAATTTGTCCAGTGATTATAACAATGCCTAAGGGCTTCCCTCTTCTCCCTCTTTGCTCTCGTTTTTCCTCCTCTCCTTCTCTTTTTTCCTTAAAATTGTCTGGTTTCTGGGTTCCCAGACCTGACAGACTTACAATCTGATATTATGACTCAAGAGCTAAGGTCCCACGGACCGCTCTGACAACCAACAATGACTTGATCTAATACGCGAGTGCTTGCTTGAGTGTTATGTCACTCTGTTCTGCGGTTGGGCTACTCCTGGCATCAAGTAGGTTGACTGGGCAGTTATCATACGGAAGCAGCGAAATTAGCATCAGCTGAGGATAAGCGTAATTAGGTTTTAGAACTTTTGACATTTGATATATTTTCTAATGATTTGAAGTCTTCTGCTAATTTTTATTTCTATACTGCTGGCCTGGAGGGTTTATTTATAAACGTGCCGCCATCTGTAGCAAATAGATATCACACAATAACAAAACGTTCTGCTAGGTATCCAAACGTAAAACATTTCAAGAGCAATGAAATCTAAAATTGCAAGGTTATTCCAAGTATTTGTATTTTCCATTTATCAGATAAATAATTTATTGCAGAGATATAGATAATAATATACCCAATATTTTGGCGAGAAAAGATTCGTGTTTGTGTAAATTATACACGCGATTTAAATCGGATTTTTACAGAAAGATGACTGTACGAAATTCCTATTTCTAAAAGTGCTGACTTGGCAGTTTTTAATGATAGTGTATAAAATCGACAATTTTTGGTTCTTCGTGCGGTCTCTATACCCAAAAAAACAATTTTCGAGATATCATTAGTATAACAAAAGCTATTGTAATGACTTTCGGATTATTAAAAGATGATGTGTTGCATTCAGAACATAAAAGTAACCATGGACTCAGAAAGTAGTACCTATAGTGGTAAAGTTTACAATATACAGAGATCGACCATTTGGACCGCACTGCAGTGTAATGCGGATGCGGTCGACGACTTGCAGCTCTTCGACGATTATTTATTTTCTTATTTAGACAAAGCTTCGTTTGGCTTGATTAAAGTATAGAGCGTGTTCTAAAAAAATACTCTAAATTTCACGTAATCCGACAGATATTCAGCAAAAATAATTAAATAATCATACCAAAACAAATATATACCACCAATGCTGCGGTGTACCACAAGGATCTATCCTCGGACTCTACTTATGGAACCTACAGTAATGGACAAAAAAATATAGACAAATATGAATATTTGCCTAAATACCTTTATAAAACGAATGCATACTTCATTGCTCCATAAACAAATGCGTTATTAGTAGAGAAACTGAATTCCTTGTTTTTACATTATCTGCAATGATCACAATACAAGTCTGAATATAAGCACTTTTTTATGAGGGACAAAAGTATATAGACAAATTCTTTTCAACATTATTTTAGTACAGTTTCGTGTCAGAAGAGTATTAGTTTGTGTTCATAAAGTATTGTGGAATAAGTTGAGTGATTTTAAGCCCATGCCGCGTGGCCCAGCAATTTCTTTCGATCTTTCGATGTGAAAACTAAGATCATTGAGTTATACAAAGATGGTCAACGTCAAGTCGACAGTACCAAAAATTTGAAGCTGAAGCGTAAAGCAGTTTGGGCAATATTGAACAAATATAAACAAAGAGGTATCTTGGAAGCCTCTAAGAGAACTGGTCGGCCTAGAAAACTGAATGCTAGATCAGTTAGATTAATAAAAGTAATTTCGTCCAAAGATCCGTTTAAAACCCCAAGATAAATAAAAACAGAAATCGAGACAAAAGGAATTGTCAGTGTTCTACGAAAACTATAAGTACACCGATTACAATTTGCACGGTTGCATCTTGATTGGAGCATCTGTGACTGGAAGAGGGTATGTTTCAGTGACGAATCCAAGTTCAATATGTTTGGATCAGATAGTATTCATTATGTTAGACGTCCTAGTGGACAAAGATTGAACTCCAAGTATACTTTGCCCACTGTTAAACATGGAGGCGGGTCTGTCATGGTTTGGGGGTGCTTTTCGGGGTTTGGGATGGGACCTTTACATAGAATAGATGGCATCATGGATAAGTTTGTATACACAAACATACTAAAGCATGACATGTTACCCTATATGGAAGACAATACGCCCTTAAGATCAATCTTCCAACAAGATAATGACCCGAAGTACACTTCAAATCTCGCAAAGAAATTCTCTCTGGATGAAAAAATACTAGTTCTCAAATGGCCTTCACAGTCTCCCGATATAAACCCCATTGAAAAACCATGAAAATAAGCAAATACGAGATAAAAATTATTCAAACAAGGATGAACTTTTTGCCGCTTTAGAGCAAACGATTGATGAATCTTATATCAAGAACCTCCTACAAGCTATGCCGAGACGATGCCAGGCGGTGATTGATAATAATGGTTATGCTACAAAATATTAACACAAACATGGTTGGTTTTCTATGGTTTAATGAACTTTGCTTCTTTTTTCTATAATTGTTTTGCTTTGTCTACATATTTTTGTCCATCATAGTTCCAGTTTTTTCAATTAATTTTTTATTGAAGGGAGTCTAATGAATTTATTTATGTATAAGTGAGTATTATGCTATAACGAATTATGTCTACAGGTTGGTGTATTAATAAAACAAGTTAAAAAAGAAATACGGCACAATATTAATTTGTCCATATACTTTTGTCCATTACTGTATATAATGCTGATCTTCCAGTAGAAAACATTGCAGGATAAACTCTGTCGCAATACGCAGCTGGTACTAAATCAATCTATACAGCAAAACACAGTCATTATGAGAGAAAAGTGAGCGATGGAAGAGGTTGAATACTGTGGCTTAACTTATTCGCACTAACTAGCAAAAAACTGAATGCATTGTATTTGCGCGAGCGCGAACGTATCCCAATCCGAGTAAGTTTGGCGTGAATGGGGAGCGAACATTCGTAACCCCCGTTTTAGATGAAATGTGATAATTTGGGCTCCATGTATTTATCGCCATTTATTATTTTGGCTCGAATGTTTTGATAGAGGTCAAAGATAAAATAATCGAGGTAAGAATATATCCGGTACTAACATACCGACTTGCTCTAGTGTCGTCTCGCATAAGCAAAAGTGACATTCTCAGATTAGAGATGATCCTTAAGAAGAAGGGCTGGGCAGTTCCCCAACTGCATTTTAGATAAGATACTTTGAGACAAGCTACAAAAGGCTAGTGTGGCAACAGGCACACAAGTATTTTTAAAAACACCGAGGAAGACAAATCAGTGAAGCCGGTTTTTCCCAATCTAGCATACATCATCCAAACTGCCAGCCAAGCCATCGACCCAAATCTATCCTACGTCCCCTACTGTTCTCCTAGTTTTTCATCCTTTTCGTAAGATAGAATTTATTATTTTGAATGCATTCAGAACCAATCTTTATATTTTTTATTATTGAGTATACCAAAGGCATCATATGTAACAATTTATATAAAATAAAGGTTTTTAAATTGGATTGAATCCGCATTTAAATAACCTGTACAGATGGTTCAACCAAAATAGAGCAATTTAAACTTAAGGACCTTTCGGCGAACCAGTTTATTTAACAAAGTAGATATACGAAATCTCCTCTCATGTTGCGAAATATAAAATTTTGATAAACTGCCCCACGACATACTTGATAGAGTTTAGCGAATGTATTGGTTTGAAAACAACTATAACATTCTTTCCAGAGCTCACAGACTCGTCTTCTAATCAAGAACGGCAAAATAGTGAACGAAAATGAAATCACAGATGGAGATATATACATCGAAGACGGTGTCATCAAACAGCTAGGCAGGAACTTGATCATACCGGGTGGTACCCGAACCATAGATGCCAGAGGCCGATATGTGATGCCTGGTGGGATCGACCCACACACGCATTTCGAGTTCGAGTTCATGGGAACCAAGTCAGTGGACGATTTTTACCATGGGACTAAGGCAGCTATTGCTGGTGGAACAACAACTATCAGTATGTACCAATTGTTAGTTTTCTTACTTTATCAACACATATCAAGGTATTACCAGCGCGATAGTCGGAAGTAAACAATTTTTTCAACCGCTGGCCGAACAACCACACAGAGCCCGGATACGACAGAAAACTATGCTGTTCTTGGTAAATATGTCCTTCCAAAACTTGTCAGAGGATCACCTTCCAGTGCTGCAGCTTTAATGCAACACAAGTTTCATACAGTCTCTTTTCTATTCCTATAATACATTTTTTTCATTGGCGAAATGGGAAAGCATAAAATACGACGGAAATACGATTTCCAAACCAAATATTCGGATAAAGATAATTTTAATCCCCTCAAGTTTTTATAAAATTTGTATAAATTTGTTTTTAGCGAAAATTGAAACAATACTAAAAATATATTTATAATAAATGCCTATGCAAGCTGTGGCGTATATAGAACTTCAGTTCGGGGGCCCCATAGATTTTCCGGTAGTCACTATTTCACAAGTATTCATTACGTTTTGACGTCTACTGAGGTGAATAGCTGATCAGCAAGTGACATATTTGTATTAGTCTGTAACGATGGCAATAAAGAATCTGGTGTAAATGTGGTAAAACTTAGTGCCATATTCATTTTTTTATGTGAAGAAACTTATAAACAGAATAGTTGTAAGCAATTACAAAATGAATCCGTAGTGTACGAAAAACTACAACAAAATACCGCTCAGTCTACCTGTCGTTGTTGGATCCGTCAGAATTATGTGTCACTTGTCGATATGGGGAATTTTGAAATATTACTAGATAACCAGTGAAAAAGACAGTGACAGTGACATTCAGGGTATATGAGGCGCCATTTTGGAACATGTTTTCAAATGGAATGGCTGCCGTGTGATAACTCATTTTGAAGCTCTCTATGACTACTTTATAACTGCAGAATAATAAAAATCACCGTCTTGACATAATCTGACAATTTTTTTGATTTGAATTTACCATCTTTTATTGGAAATAACATATTTTAACGTTTTGATGATCAGTTGTTGACTTATATTAGATTCAATATACAAAATACTCTAGGCTATAAAGAGTTCATAATGAGCTCCAGAACATGACCCCCCATTCCATTAAATCTTTGAAATGTTGAAATATAGTTATCATGTGTCAATTTCACCACTCTGCATTTTAGCTTGCTAACTTGACCTGTTCAAAAAATAAGTAGGGGGATACTGAAAAAAAACTGTGTACATGATTATTTTGTGATGGATCATAAAATATATGGAAAGAAACGAACTTTATTTCAAAACAGGAGAATAAGTCTTACGCAATTTTCCTAATGAGATCCATGTTTATTTTTTATGTACTTTCCCCCAAAAATGTTTGAATCAACGTGCATCTCAAAAATATTGAAAAATTCAAGAAGGTGTTTTCCCGCTGCAAGAGTGAAATATAACGTACTTTCCTCACCAATTCATTGAGAAAATGTACAGGGTTTGATCGGTATATTTCTTTCACTTATCCACCTATACAGTGTGACCAAAGGAAGTCAGGTTTTTTAGCAAAGTTTGGGGTTATGTCAGACTCTCAATTTTTGATCTTGAGAATTTTTAAATGTATCTTTTTGATCTTTGGACTATCCTCAAAAGAGTAATTTCTCAAATTTTCCCTAAAAAGTGACTTTTTTGGGGTTTATCCTGAGAATCGGTATTTATCCTAAAACTGTTGCATAAAGTGGAATTTCTTGTGCCCGATAAAAGATTGAAATACTCAACAACATTATTGCATCCAGTGGCGTGCAAAAAAATAACTGTTGCTGTTTTGTATAAAGTTCGTTTTTGTCATAGATAAATAATTTAGGTATTTAACTGGTCTTCGAATTTTTGTTTACTAAAATGCTAGACATTGTTAATGTTAATCAATAAATTATTTGATGTTGTTTAAACATTTAAGAGTCTATTACCTATTGGAAAAAATTGGAGAAAGATAAAAAATTCCAGATAAAAGATGAATAGCAGTGTTTGGCCAGCATCATAGCAATTCGAAAAATAATTTTTTAGTTATTAGCAATTCTTTCTCCTATATTGAGGATTGGATTTGTTCATTAAGCTGTTTAAATAGTAAAATTTATAAACTAGGTTTAAATTATATAATGTCAAAGTAGCAGATTTTTACTGCACGCAACTGGAGGCAATAACGTTCATTGAGTGCTTCAATCTTTTCTCCGGCGCAAGAAATTCCGCTTTATGCAACAGTTTGAGAAAAAATATTCATTTTCAAGAGAAATCCCCAAACAGTCCTTTTTTATGTATAAATGTAACAAACACACTTTTAAAATTCGAGAATTTGTGTTATAGCCAACTTTCGAAAAATTTTGCGAAGTTATTTTTTCAAGGATAGCCCAAAGATCAAAAAGATGCGTAGAAAAATTTCCAAGTTCAAAAATTGAGAATCTGACATAGCCCCAAAATTTGCTAAAAAACGGACATCCTTTGCTCACCATGTATAAAAGGATAAAAAAAAGCAATATACCGATCGAACCCTGTACGTTTTCTCAAATATCGAGATTTGAATTTGGGCAAAATTTTCCATGTTGCAAAGCAACTGTCCACCAGTTTTATATGCTACTAGACAATGTAATAATGAGTCTTGTCCGAATCTGGACGTAGTATGACTGAAAAAGTCGTTGGCTCCATCCTAGAATAAAAAATTTGGAACCCACGTTTTTTTATTTATTTTTCAGTCGATTTCGCCTTCCCGAAACCTGGGGAATCTCCCCTGGACGCCTACCATACCTACCGCCTGAAAGCCGATGGCAAAGTGTGCTGTGATTACGGACTACATGTTTGCTTGACCGGATGGTCCGATCAAGTGAAGAAAGACATGGACCTGTTGTGCAGAGACCATGGCGTTAACTCATTCAAGCTGTTCATGTGCTACGATTTCATGGTCGACGATGGAGAACTGTATAGTGCATTCGAGCACTGCAAAAACTTAGGAGCGGTAATATTATTGATAATTAGATTTGCATTTTGCCCAATTATTCATTGTTGACCGTCTTCAAAGTATCTGGATCTTTATCTGAGCATTACTTATTTTTGATATTCTAATCACTTAAGAGGACGATGACTAATAACAAGCATACATAATTTTGGCCAAAGTTTGTAGAATATTTCATTATACGTTAGAACCGCCTAATTTTCTACTTGGATAAAATTTTCAACACAGGCTGAATAGGATGTCTCTGCATAATCAACCTTATACATACAATCAAGAGATAATGAGTCTACAGAAAAACTGAATATGGTGATGTGTTTAGTTTATTGAACGTCAAAGCTGGAAACGTGGTTACGCCCCTGAATGACAATGGGACGTCTATATGGTCAAGCATGGAACTACCCTGTATACGGTTGGTTATGGTCACAGATGCAAATAGACCCTATTCAGTCTGTGTTTGGTTTATGCAATCTTGGCATGGAACGTGGATACTAGTAGCATGGTGAGTACTGAACTTAGCTACAAATGTGATGCTTATGTGGCAGATGCTCCTTGTTTGTCTTCATAGTAGCAAACAATGTCATTCAGAGACGACGGGAAGCTGTAGATTTCTCCTGCCTAAGGCCCGTATCGTCAGTCGTCCCTACAATTGTAGGGCGCGTTTATGGCCTCCTTGATTGTCATACTTCTTTCTCTCCTTCAAAAATTTCTAGATTACACTTGCCCCGTGTCAGCGTCAGCGCTCTCCTAATGTGAAGATATGTTTTCTTTTTAAATTGTAGGAAATTTCATGCTGATAAAACATGATATAACTCAAAAACAAGCACAATTTGATGCAAATAGATGTTTGTGACATAACCTCAAAATAGAGTTCTGACACGGAGAAGTAGAAAACTATGACTGACGATACGGGCCTAAGGTAAGGGTTGGTAGATAGCGAAACTACTCACAGCTGGCGTGTCACCTATTTTTGTTTTTTTTTAGTAATTGAAACATCCATTTTTCAAGGTTAATACAGTTCGTCTTCAATTTTAACGCTTGTATGTTGAAAAAAGCGTATCTGAAGTTCATACAAAGAGAACTCATTTAAGTTTTCACTGTTTCCCGCCAAAGTAATGAATCATTGATATTTTGTTGGTGGACGTGTAACCTCCATGATATAAGTAGGTTCACGTTCTGAGGGTAAGGCGTGGAAAACTTATTACATCACCACAGAACTTCAGCACGCGTATTCCGTATCGTCTAAGAAAGAAATTTCTTTCTGTAAACTCTCTATCGCACTTTACCCTATTCTGTAAGATGTTTCGGCAGCGATCGGGTTGCACGAAGGCATTGTTCGGTATAAAAATAGAAAGACAATATTACCTCTTTCTATAATCAAATCCAAGCGAATAACCAAAATTTCTGTGTTATGTGCCGCGGTTATAATATGGTTCAAGATGACACACGGGTTGATGACGTCAGTTACACGAATCGCTTGAACGCGTTGGTTTTAACCGCGGTTTTGTTGCAAGTTGTTTATTTTAGAAAAGCGCGTATATAATCTCTGATTATTTTTATTATCACTTAATAATCGGTGCTTTTTCGTCTACAATTGTATATGGAAAGTTTAAATAAGAAACCTTTCATAATATTCATGGGAGAAATGTATTTTTCAGATTTTTTTTTCAATGATGGAACCATGGCTTTGTAGCTATGATAACTTTCAATTCTCTAAATTTTTCCGCATGTCAAAGAAAACATTTATTGATTCAGCAGAAATGATGAAAAAAGAATTTAGCAAAACCGTATACAGGTGGATATCATCTAGTGAGTTTATATGGCCATATTTTAATATTCTTGTGGTATATGGCTACACAGATACTTTGTTAAGCATAGGAACTACATTTAAAGTGTCCCCAACAACCGTAATGAGTATAACTAATAAGGTGCTCCACTTTATGGTAAAACTGAAGTCAGCCTGTATCATTTTTCTCAAAAATTTAGCTGAAGTACAATAACAATATCCAATACCCGGCCAAATTCTAACTTGTCACATTTCAAATAATAACCAGAACTATAAAACTACTCTTGAGTTGGGTAAATACCACAATTTTGCGGTGATAACTATGACATATAATAGCTGATTCGTGACGTCACGGATCTTATAACCAAACTGATAACTACACTGGCTTGAACGGATTGGTAAATACCAACCCAAAATGGTAAATACCATTTCCATTTGGTTATCCGCGTGAATTTGATTTATTATTCTCGTCTCTTTTTAACACACGCGTACTTATTGCATCTTTGTCGGCAGTCCGCATGTTGTCTACATTTCGTAAAAGCGGGGTTATGTATATGTTCATAACAACGACGGTTAATAATAATCATCTACAAGTGAATACCATGGGTAAGTCTCAGTTTAATACCAAACTACTTAATTTTCAAATAACATTTTCCAGATAAACGAGATTTTAAGACTCATCCTCAACAGTGGAGCACTATTGTGGACTTTGGAGAAGAGCATCCCACAATTTTTAGACCACAATTCAAACATGGTGACGGTGATGCTAGACAAAATGCGATATGTTGGGAGAATCTAGTACAATCATTGAATTCGATGGGATTTGGGTTTAGGAGTGTGGAGAAATGGAAAATGGTTTGGTTTTTATATCATGACCGTATATATTTACCTATATCGTGCTTGTTCCACAAATTATAGACAGTAGTTTACCACTTAGGTTTACTTTATACAACTGGAAAAAACTTTTGATTATTCTAAAGTTCTTTGAGAATTCGTATTTTAAACGTTCAAAGCACAAACCACCTCCCGCAGCTTACCAAATTGATTAAGATTATGTCAGTTTGTCATTTAAAAAGATTCAAATATATGTACTATGAAATACTTAAAGAATGGATGTGGGTGTTTATTAATGTTTAGTATTGGACTGTGCTATATCAATAATTTATCATTTTTATATATTGCTTTAGGCTGTTGGTAGATGGAAATCTAAGGTTAAGGCAGCTGAGGATCGAGAGCCAAAAAACTGGTGGTGGCTGTTTAAATGCAGCTCCTTTAACAGACAAAGAGGAGCGACTAATGAAATTAATTGGTTGAAAATCAGTAACAGGGAATAGCAATGCAGAGCTGGGATTGGTAACTATGTCATTTGATACATTTAAATGAAATTGTAAGTAGAATTGTAATATGAAGGGTGAGCTTTCAGTGTGGCCTCGGTTGATAACTCTGGTATTAAACATGATATCCATCAATCAATTTTCAAATGAGGCACCCTGTATATTTTAACATCCTCTCATTGCCCTTTAAGAGGGTTGACTCTTTTTAATTCAGATATGAATGGAAAAAAAATGAAAAATATTACATTACATTCCCAAATAAAACATAGCATAATGGCAGAGCTAGCGACTGAGTCCTCACGAAGAATTAACCCTGTATGTACTTACAATACAAACATTTTTATCTACAGGGATCCATCCGGCCCATCGCAGCACACCAGCCACTGCCAGAATTGAAACCCTTCATAGAAGGAAACACCAGTAAAACTGCAACACCAGATCCTCAACCTTCTTGCAGCACAGTATCGAAGTCGCCACCAACACTAAGGTTATTTAATCAAAAACCAGCCAGAAAACGTAGTCGACTATCTACTGAAAAATCAAGGAAATTTGTTTCCTTGGCAAAAATGCATCAGGAGGCCATGGAGGAAAGGAAAAAATTGAGAAATATTGTCAAACGACAGGCTGAAGCCCAAGAAGCAATGGCTGGAACACTCAACGAACTTTTGGCCTATATAAGAACAAAAGATAAAAATGAATAAACATAATAGTGCATTGTAAACAATGTGATTTTAGTTTTAGAAGTATAAATAATATTTATAGAATTTATTTTTGTTTGCTCTTAGATTGTTTGACTGAATAATGATTCAAGTTTTTTCATTGTAATGTTTGTTTGTGGAAAACCTTTGTTTTTGTTTCATGGTGTTTTTCACAATAAAATATTTTTTTTTTAATTTTAGTTTATTTTATTTGAAATATCTATCTAACATTTTGAAAATACAATTGTATTATGTTGACTCTCCTTGCCTGCCCTTGTTCAAGAACATTTCTTACAATAGCATCCGAATCTGGACATCATTATCATCTTGCTTCTCTTCTTGATCTTCCATATCCATATTAGCCCTAACACACGTTGTGTAGGACATAAGTGGCATTGATAATTTGACCAGCTCTGAAGGGGGCATAATGTAAGACCCTGTCTTTCAATAGACAACGAAACCTATTTTTCAAAACTCCTGAAACAAAATTTTCTCATTTAATACAAAAATATATTAATAATAAATTTTTTTATAAAATACCTATATATCTTTCCACACAATTCCTGGTTCTTGTCAAAGCTGCCGTATATCTACCTTCAGGAGTATCAGTAGGCATACCTTGAATAGGAGTCATAAGCCATGGCTCTTGTGGATAACCACTATCTCCAATTAACCACGAATTATGATCACCATTATTGTACATTTCTTCTAAATGAGTCCTTACATTGGAATTTCTCCAAATAACAGCGTCATGAGATGCTTCACCATAATTTGCTTTTATATTTAGAATCAATAGATTTGCATCACATATTCATTGTATATGTTTTGAATGATATAGCTTTCTATTGAAATATAGATGCTCAGCCTCTTGAGGTGTAACAATGGCAATATGAGTGCTATCAATGCAGCCTATTACTCCTGGAAATCCTAATTGCGCCATAAACTGTTCTTTTTTTCTGTTGCTTTTCAGCTTCACTTAATGGGAATTTTACCCATCTATGAGCAATTGACTCTAGAGCCAGATAAACTTCAGACACTGCTCTGCTAAATGATGGTTGTGTCAATGCCACATACGCCTCATTTCCTCCTGCCTTCTGATATGAGCCCTGAGCAAAAAACCTTAGGGCACCAAAGATCCTTATATGGACGAGAATTCTTGTGCCTCTTGCTCCTGCATCCATATGAGGGGTAAGATCACGAATAAGATCTTGTACCAACTGCCGACTAAGTCTGAAGCACGTTCGGAGCTCTCGTTCAGGCAATTCGAATGCATTTTGTTTATCTCGAAAAGTTCTCCGCTCCAAACGTAATTGGTTTTGTGCTTCTTCATCTTCTGCGTCCTGTAGCAAATGAAGGAATATTGGCTCCATACTTTTACATGTAGGTGCTATTTTTTGTACTTCTACCTCCTTACATAAACTTGCACGAGTCGTAAAATCTAAATTATTCTTAATTCGGAATTTCCCAACAAATTGGCAAATTAAACAAGCAAAACAACAAATATTCTATATCGTTGCAACTTACCCGAATGACTTCCGAAATTTCCCTAAAAGATGTCAATGTTTTTATAATGGATAGTGCACATTTCTCTATAACCGAACGCCCGTAGAGAGAACAGTACAGAATAAGTTCACGACATAGAAAGAAATTTCCTCTCTATACTTAAAGAAAGAAATTTCGGTTTCTAGGACGATACAGAATACGCGTGCAGAACTTTGGTTCAAGCTTTGGAACGCGAGTTTTTTCATCATTCCTTATTTTAACGTTTTAGATGCAAAATATTGTTATTCGTTAAATGAAATAAATATTTTGGAAAATACCCCATTAGATTACTCGTAAGGAAATATGGTAATCATCATTTTTGAAATACTCCATTTATTTCTGGTTAACAATAAAAATGTCGTTTGTACACACCCTACAGTGCTAAAACTAACTCAACCCATGAATGTATTATACTCACAACGACACACATTGAGTGCCAAGAATTGTCGTTATGTATCTTTGATATCAACTCTACGTGAAATAATGTGCATTATTCACACGTTTTTATCATTTTTTTAGATAGCTCAAGTTCATGCCGAAAATGGAAAAATCATAATAAAAAATGCGGAAAAGCTTATCGCAAAAGGAGTTACTGGTCCTGAAGGACACGAAATTTCAAGGCCCGAAGAAGTAGAAGCAGAAGCAGTAAATCGGGCATGCGTTATTGCAAAACAGGTAATTTTTAGATATAAACACAAAAATGTCTTTCTCTGTGTCACATTGTATGCTGTATCGTGAAAATTTAACACAAACTGATGATACCGAATTCAGCGTACAAAAAAATAAGTAGCTGTTTAGTTTTCATACGTCACAGAATAACGCACTTCCTGAAAAAAAATATCCTATTGTAATATTCTCATACAAGAAGATCAAAATTGATGGTTGTGATTAATCGCTCAATTCTTTGTGCTGCTCATTGCTGTGAATGCGTTGTCGCATTTTTAATTCAAAATTGTGACTACGGATAATTTCCAGTAGATTGAAAGAATATATCTTTGGCACCTTTTAGTAAAGCAAGGTCACGGAAAATCCCTGTTAGGAATCACTGCCACCAGTTTGACTTCCTGTACAGTTTCCCTTATTTTAGCATACGAATGATTCTCCTTAGGTAGACTGTCCTTTATATATTGTTCACATGATGAGCGCCGAGGCCGTGGAGGCGTTGCAGTCGCATCGTAACCGCTACGGCGGTAACGTGTATGGAGAGACGCTGGCGTGCGCGCTTGCGACAGATGGCCGTCAATGTAGGCATGAGTGTTTCGCACATGCGGCCGGACATATCCTCAGCCCGCCTTTGAGGTCCAATGCGCAAACGCCCACAATGCTCATGAAATTCCTTCAGGCGTAAGTCTCCGCTTGCGCTTGTGGCGGCGTTTGGTGAGCTGGACACGTGTGATGTACGTCGGAATGGAAACATGAGGTTTTCTGGTTCGATAAGTCGTGGATATAAAAAACCCTTTGAGTGACTCTTCCAGTATCGGAGACAAACGGTTATTCGAACTTTTTTGGAACTTTAACTGTATTGAGTCTTGTTCAGGAATTCAGTAATCCATGTGACTTTAAATTATGAGGACATGGAAGGAATTTAGCCGGTTATACATCCTTATAGAATTATGTCAGATTATCCAAACTAAAATTGTGTATATCAAATCTTCAATCAGCGAACAATGCATTGTTCAATATTCGTTTATCCACCTTTAAGTTACTTGATCAAATACGAATCTATCCGCAACCTTTTCAAAATCCCCGCGTTTAATATTTGCGCCTGCAGAATCCTACGTTGCTGGTGAAGAACAAAAAATGTTTCCGCTAATGCGCGGAGTGACGAGACATTCTTCTAGCTAGCTATCTAACCGGTAACCTTAAAGATTCTGCAGCTGCAAGTTTGTCGTTTTTTAGTGAATGCACTCGACTCTCCGTAGCAGCACAACACTAGATGAGTGATGACTCAAATTTGATTGAGAATTAAAATATACAGTGCACTTAATTCAAATACCATAGAAAAAAGTCTATAGTCGTGCCAAAAGAAGCCATGTGGAGCAGTAACATGTTCGAGCTAAAATCGGTCACTGCAGAACGGCCGCATTGGTATTGTGCTCTGAAAAGGAAAATCTTAAAACTGTGTCAACCGAATAAATTCATTAAAACACAATATCACGAGTTTGTTTCCGAAAGATATACAACACCATGTAGATGAGTTCCTCCCCTGATGACACCTTGGCACTACCTCTCAAGTGTATACTATTGATGAGTGCATACTCCTGCCAAAGTTTTATTCTGGTAAAATAAAGTGCAGTGTCAGAGCCCTTTACCATTGGATATGCTCAACTTTCGCAGCATGCTGATTTTTAGAATTACAAGCTTTCTTATATTTGACCCTACACTTGATCTTCGCTTATCTGTTCTCACCATTAGGATTATAAACTGTTTTCACATCATACCTGTATGTTTAATTTGCTGATCGGTAGTAGCTTGAAAACATACACATTCCATGGAATTTGACAAACTAAATTTTTGATCTAATTCAAGTTAGTCAAACCAGCTCATTCATATTGTATACCAAGAAAAGCTCATGTTCCTCAATTTTGACGTATATGCAACTAATTAATGTCTGGGCTTTGGAGAGCAAAATATCACTAACTGCAGCTTTGCTTGTGGTGTTAACACTGGATTCCATAGAATGAATCATTCATGTGCCATAAAAGATACATTTCTGGTAAATCGGATCTGATAATGAGAGTTAAGGTTGATTCTGACTATACATTCCGTTTCCATTCCGTAACCGTTCCGTAAATTATTGAAATTATATTCGCCTTCGCTTAAAGCAGGTTATTGCGTGTGTATGCACATTATCCGTAAGGTATACTGTGTATACAATCACATTGTACGGAACGTTTACGAAACTGATATGGAATGGAAACGCACTGTATAGTGAGAATTAACCTTTATTCTACCTTTCAACTTCACTATACTGTCTCTTACTAGATCACAGTACCTATGGAGAGCAGATTACCAGTAAAGAGACATTTTGTTTTTTCTTTGGACTATCAGTTTTCATGGAGCGCGTTTTGCCAAGGTTCAGCGATGGAGAGCTTTTAGACTGCACAGCACTAGAGTTCCGCCCACGGTTGTAGGTGGTCACTTCAAAATACCTCACGAAACAAGAAAGTACCTAGTATACTATGGTACCATGTGCGTAGTCCAGTTTCCCTAAGGAAAATTGCAAACTGCGCAAGCTGATCCGTAACGCATCTGCTATTCGTTCTTGCTTACAAACATGAATCGGATGATAGAGGACCATTGTTTTCACTCACTCGCTGAAAATTCTTCTAACACAGACCGTCTACTTTGTACTTGTATCTTGAGGCACTACCATGTTTTATATGGAAAGTCAACATGGGTAAACACTAATTACACGTTCATGACAAGTTGTCACACTGACAATGACAGTTGTAAATTTGAAACACTCATGCGTTGACGGGAGAAATCCGCGCAAAGAGGCCAATTGCATATGTGTCTGAGGGAGATGGATTTATGGAAGTAATTCCTGTAGTCTTACTTTGACCTACCAAACACAGGTAAAAGACCTATAGTAGTGGGATACTTTTGAAAGTTCGTAACATTTAATCAACATACTATAAAATCTGGCAGCCAAATGAAAAGTGTTGTCAAACTGACAAACCTATCCAATGACTACTACTATTTAGCACAACAGCGCTGCTTCGCTGGACCGCTTCACGTTGGTTGAACGCACTTGTAGATTAATTATTACATTTGAAAAATACGGCTTTCCAACTTTGCCCAAGTGGTACAGATTCTTGTTTTTCTTAAAGCAATAACCTATGATATAAATATTTTAATATCATCAAGTATGTGTGTGCCTAAAAATTCTAGATGCATTCATTATGAGATCTTTAACGCTATGATCATGTGTGTATTTGATTTTCTCATCATCACTCTGCTGACTAACATAAACTGCTTGGTGTTACGTGTGTCTGTATTTAACATATAGGTTGGGTCTCCGCTTTATGTGTCTAACGTAACCTCGGACCAATCCGCGGAGGTCATATCCGCCTACCAATCAAAAGGAGTGATTGTTTACGGTGAGGTGGAAGCATCATCCGTTGCGGTTGTCGGTCAAAGCAACAATCCTAATCTGCTGACGTCACCACCAATTCGATCATCTCCTCAAGCTCAAACTAATTTACTAAACTTCTTAGCATCGTAAGTATAAAATAATATTACCTAACATTAAGTTGTGTCGGTAATAAATACATTAATATTAATTAACAATAGAACTTAACCAGAGCAACAGGTTTCCGTATACAATTTTGTCTAAAATTTTGTGGACTCTTCAGAAACAGCGATGACCACTCACTGAAAAACCTGTTCATTAGAATGTTGTCAAATTTAGGGGGATACTCTACGCGTAGTAATATTAAAAAATATAAAACATTGATCGTCGTATTCTCCGTTTTGGTGATATTTTGCCGTCTTTGAAAAATTGTACGTCACCCGTTCTTGTAAGTGAAATTGTGACATTTGATAATATGTATGCTTCTGTGTATATGTGTATTTTTGCATATCTTAGCGTGCTGAACGAGTTCCTCAGTTTTCTTGACAACTTTTTGTAACACCCTGTATAAGTCGGTGAGAATACGTTAATCAATGGAATAATCAATAAACGATGTTGCAAGATGGTTAATATACGAGTTAAAATTAATGTAGCGCTCTTCATCAAATTCTCTACTTTAGGGACATTCTTCAAGTAACAGGCAGTGACAACTGCACGTTCAACCAGTCACAAAAAGCTTTAGGAAAGAACGACTTCAGAAAAATCCCCAACGGTGTGAATGGCGTAGAAGACAGAATGTCTGTGATTTGGGAGAAAGGCGTTCACGCTGGTATCATTGACCCCAGCAGATTCGTAGCTATTACCAGCACAAATGCCGCGAAGATTTACAATCTGTTCCCCAGGAAAGGTGTGATTGCGGTTGGATCTGATGCTGATATTGTCATATGGAATGCTAACGAGACTAGAACGATATCAGCTAAAACTCACCATCAAGCTGTGGACTTCAATGTCTTCGAGGTAAGTAATACAAAAATTATGTAAAATGTCAAAAAGTACCGACGAAATATCAACTTGCTAACTACATATCTCCTAGTGTGCAAATAGTTTATTCCGCACTTGCTCGCTATGAGAGTCACCTATGGTGGAATGGCTCAACGACCATGCTGAAAGCCAGTTCGCCGTCATGCTTTGTTGGTTGCAGAATGTAAAGTTTTGTGCTGTAGAGTATATCTCTGAAAAGATATGTGACATAAAGAAAATTGGTTGAGTAGTGAGACTACATCTGGATGATTATTTTTTTTTCGCATGTGCTGATTTGCATTTTCTATTGCCGTGGCAAAATAAATTTCTATAGAATATAAATGACAAAAAAGCAATATAAAATGTAATAACCTTTTCACGTTTCATAAATATTCCTGTCTGTAGACTATTTTCTCACCTGTTAGTTGTAATATATCTACGTCACTATCCAGGGATTTTTTTATCTACCTCATTTTTAAAATTCAGCAAAGGAGGTGGTTTTTTTCGCCCATAACACACTCAAAAATAAAAAGTTCGATTCCAGACTATAATTGAATTTTTGCGAACTTCAAGACGTGTATTTTTTTATCATATAATATTTACGGTATAAATAATATAATATGCTTCAGAAATTATTGCCAAGAAATAGAGTATTTAGCGCTTTTTGTGCATTTTTGTTGTTTCTCGATCCTTGAATCATGTTTTCCATACGAAGCGTTCCATGAACCACATTAACTTAAATGCTCAGTGGGTTCTACTTATTATAAGCTTGTATATGAGTATTTATTTGTTTTGGTTTAGTGAGCGCATCAATCAAAAAATGCGTAATATATGCTGCGGGAGAGTGTGAGTCACGCTGCAATCGCTGCGTGTTCAGACATGATTTTTCGCGCTAGAAAAGTATTTACGTAGTAAAGGTATAGGCAGGTCTGATAGTGATTCGAATGAAGAAGATTGGTAAAAAATATATTGAGTGTATGAAAACTGATTATCTTTTATTACTGTTCAATAAACACTCAGATAATTATTTAATTTATGTATACCACGAATTTTAGTTTTCATTCGAAATAAGTATGTTTTCTTCTTCATAAATACAGGGTGCATCATCTATTACTTTTTTCTATTTGATAAATAAACACGCTTTTTACGAGGTGAAATCGAATTTTTTTATTGATAAATGGAGGTTGGTTTATGCCATTTATGTATGAAAAATAACATCAGTCATGTGACCACCGCGGCTTCGTTTACAGGCCAACATCCGAACATCAAAATTTTCAATGACTTTTCCCAGAATAATCGGGTCTATGGCTGCAATTTCAGTCCGAATATTGCGCTTTAGGTCTTGAATTGTCCGGGGACCACTCACATTCACTTTTTCTTTCAAAAATCCCCAAAGAAAATAGTCAAGAGGTGTTAAATCGCACGATCTCGGGGGCCAACTGACATCTGAATTTCGTGAAATTGTGCTGTCTTGAAATTTCGTGTGCAATAAGGCGATTGTTTGGCGAGATGTGTGAGCCGTTGCTCCGTCTTGATGAAACCAAAGATCGTCGGCACCAATACGATCCAATTGTGGCCACAAAAAATCTGTTAACATGCCGCGATAACGTTCCCCGTTGTTGGTAATGGCCGTTTCTTCGGCATCTTCAAATAAGAATGGTCCAACGATGCCACCAGCCCATAACCCGCACCAAACAGTCACCTTTTCAGGATGCAGAGGTTGTTCATGATATTGGTGTGAATTTTCAGCCCCTCAGAATCTGAAATTTTGCTTATTTACGTACCCATTGAGTTGAAAATGAGCCTCATCAGAAAAGAGCGCTTTGGCCGAAAATCCGTCTTCTCTTTCCAGCATCCAATTAACAGAACCACGCCGCTGTTGATGGTTTGCCTGCTTCAATTCTTGTGTTAGTTGGATTTTGTATGGATGGAGGTGTAGATCAATGTGTAAAATCTGGCGTAAAGTGGTCTCACTAATTCCGAATTGTTGCGAACGGTGCCTAGTCGACGTGGTTGGATCTTCTCGCACACTTTCACTCACTACAGCTATGTTTTCACGAGTACGAGCTGGACGAGCATGTTGGTATGGTCTACGACCTTCAGCTGAGCCAGTTTCTTCAAAACGATTAACAATTCCAGGCTCTGTAGGGCGTTCATGTCCGCCAAAACTAGTGCGAAGTTTGCGAAAAGTATTTTTTATATTTCGACCGTTTTCGTAATAAGTTTGGATAACCAAAATGCGTTGTTGTGTTATAAACGAAGCCATGACTATAAATGGCATATCTTTGACAGTTCATTTATGCATTCCTCATGACTTTTGACTCACATGGTACAAACTTATAGGTAAAAAAAAGTAATAGATGGCGCACCCAGTATATATGTCATATCTATTCGCTGATGGGCGAAAAGTAGCTCTTATCAGCCTTCCTCCTTTGCATATGTAATTTCCAGGATGAAGCATAGCTTCTCACGTGAGTATATTTCAGACAACAAACTATGGGAATTATTAGCATACAAATCCTCACTATGCACCTATGCACTGCCGTTTCCTTCCAGCTGTAGTATACATCTTACAGCTTAGACCTCCAATAATGCCATCTCTGAAGCAGATATTACATCACACCAGAGCCAAATGTTGATAGATGTTCAGTTACAGAGGAGTGCACATAAAGTGAACGACAGCTAGTTCTAAGTTGACATTTTGTAGAAAAGCCTACATAACGGCACAAAAACCTATATAATGTAAAAAAACCGACATAATGTCACTTTTCAAGATACGTAATACCCCTGCCAGTCTCTCAAGTAACCAGGTTTCATACTTACTGTCAAACACCAGAAATTGGGCAATACAGTAATTACTCGGTCAATGACGATAATGCCCAGCCAAGTTGGAAATAATACAAGCGCACTGTTGATGCCATTGGCTAGGAGATGACTTTGTTCGCCAAGCAGCGGAACAAATGTAATGTAATTTTACTTTTCAAACCAGCATTGAAATCCGTTTTAATTTAGACATAATTGAACGATCAGTAAATACAGTGTGTTATAATTCTTGTAAGTGTGTTCATTAACAGTTTACGGTCTGTTTGAACAAGAGGGTTCGTTGCGAAATGATGAAGGGCATGTTAATGTATACAGTATGTTACCGCAAGCATACACAGCAAGGTCACATGGAGGGAAATTGTACAAGTTTAGCTATTTGCCGCTGTTTTGAGGTATTCAGTAGTAAATCGGCGAAACTATCGATCGTTCTTGGAAGAATTTCAACGCCCGATTTTACTAACAGGAAATCAAAATTCTTGATCCGGATCATGATGGGTCAATGAATATGGTCGATTTCTTTCTAAAATAGCCAAAAAATATACGAGTTGTATCTATTTCACTCCGCATCTGCTGAAGTCTGCAATAATATACAGAATCCATTCTGATATCTGCACGAGAAAGGTCTCGCCAAGTGAGCTCCGCATTATTTAGCGGAAAAGTAGTGTTCTAGTTTATTAAAAACTGTGAGTTTTAACCCAGAGGTTGCAGTTGTGTTGATGATTTGAGTTGTGAAAGCAGCACAAGGAAATCTGGATAAGTGCGTAAGTTATAAACGTTTATTTTTTCCGTTGTCCGTACATAAACAAAGTAAGCTGCCACGCCCAGTTACGCCCACGCTCTGAGAAGAGGTATTTTGGTTCTAAACGACCAAGTCTCGATAGCGATACCATCCAATGATCTTGACACCACAGCGAAGAACGTTACAGTATATTCGACTGACAGCAACAAAAAATTGGGTACGCGATCATGGCAGAAAAACCAATTAGTCTCGAGGACATCTACAATTTAATTACAAACTCCAATACGGAACTCAAGGGTGAAATTGAACAATTAAATAAGAACATCACAGAAGTAAAAAAGAGATAGAGAACACGAATAATAAATTTAAAGAAATTGAAGAGGAAAATAAAACATTAAAAAACAAACTGAATGTGCTTGAAGCTAAGTTGAAGAAGTATAGCGTAGTTGCGTATGGGGTAAATGAGGAAGATAAAGGAGCAGCAGAAGAAGCTAAAGAATTTATCGAACAAAAATTGGAAATTTTCATAGAAGCAACCCAGATAAGAGATTCCTATCGCATAGGTAGAAAGGTAGAGAATCAAAAAAAGCCACGACCACTTGTTATTGAACTGCTGAACTATAGAACCAAACAAAATATTTTGATAAAATCTAAACAATTACCGAGAGGATCTGGCATATTTGTCACCAATGACTACACAAAGGAAGAATACGAAAAAAGAAAAGTCCTACATGCACATTTAAAACAAGCTAGACAAGCAAATAACTCAGCATATATAAAAAACAACAAATTATATGTGAATGGTGACGCCTATTCATATGAAACACTACAACAAGACGAGTTACCAGAAACATTTACAGTAGAAGCTACATCGAAATTCGAAACAGGCCACAGATCCACAAACAACAATAGCGAGACCAAAAGAGGGGAAAAGAGATCTGCTGAAGAAGCTTCTTCAGGAAAGCAAAAAATCTTAGTAATTCATCAAGGCCCTAAATTAAGAAGCAATTCTAGGCCATAATGGACTCATACATTCGTGATTTTCGAATAGACAATATTAGTACTAAAAATGTAACGTCTATAGATGAATGCAATAGCACTTTGAATTCAGAATGTAACAGAGAAAATGTTTCGTTATTGCACCTAAATATTAGGAGTATACATAGAAATTTCGACGAATTCAAGGTGCTACTGCATGGAATCAAAAAAACATTCGACTGTATAGTTTTGTCAGAATGCTGGAAACTTGAAGATATTTCACTATATCAACTGGAAAATTATAACATATACTATAATGATGGTGATATTAACAAAAATGATGGGGTTATAGCTTATATCAATAAAAACGTTGAGGTGACCGAGAATACAATAATACAACTTTCTAACACAAACATAAAGATCTTGCAGCTTTCTATGAAAAAATGTAATGACCTAGTACTTGTTTCAGCTATTTATAGACCACCGTCAACAGATGCTTTGTCATTTCTCAGTGACTTGGAGCGATACCTTGAATCTTGTAACAAAAGTCGTTGCATCCATCTACTGGCGGGTGACATAAACATAAATATAATGGAAAAGTCTGAGTTATCGGAAAAATACTTGAATATCTTAGCCTTGTATTACCTTCGTCCAGCAATAAATGACTACACAAGAGTGGATGGTAACGCAAAGTCTTGTATTGATCACATATTCGCTAGCACTCCTTCTGATAATGGTCACATAAATTCTGTAATACTTCAAAACCATATAACTGATCACTTTACAACTATGCTAGAGATAATTTTCCCCAAAATCATTAGCAAAAATATAAACACAAATTGTGTATATAGAACAAATGAAACCAAATTACTTGAACTTCTGAATAATCAAACTTGGACATCAATATATAATTCGATCAACACGCACAAAGCTACTGAACATTTCATACAAATATTGAACGAAAATATCACTAAATGTAGGTATAAATTAAAACTCAAAAATAATCAAAAAGCTAGGAAAACATGGATAACTAGCGCTTTGGTAAACTCTGTAAATAAGAAAAACAAACTATATCGTGAAATGATAAAAAACCCAACGGAAATAAATATAAAAAGATTTAAGGATTACAGAAACTTATTAAATAACCTATTAAAAATAAGAAAAAAGGAATACTACGACAGCAAAATCAAGAAAACCAATAATAGTAGTAAGATGTTATGGGATTGTGTAAATGAGATTTCCGGTAAAAGGAATAAAAAGGCAGAAATAGATAAGATAAAAATCGAAAGTGGGGAAGAAATATCCAATAAAAATGATATTGCTCAGAAGTTTTTGGAACACCTCACAAGCATTGGTGAAAAGCTGGCAGAGAAGATACCACGCACTGCTCCTATCAAACAAGTAAATAAGCTTATCAACTCAATTTATTTAGACGATACGGATGAAAACGAAGTGAGGGAGACTATATTAAGCTTGAAAAATGGCAAGGCTCCTGGAAGCGATAACATAAAAGCTGAAACTCTGAAAAAAATACGATATTATATATGCAAGCCTTTAAAATATATAATAAACGAATGTTTTCGTACAGGAGTATTTCCCGATATTTTAAAGTTAGCCACAATAACACCTATCTACAAAAAAGGTAGCAAACTTGATATAGAAAATTATAGACCAATATCCCTGATTTCGAGTATCGCCAAAGTTGTAGAAAAAATAATCAAGTCAAGGTTACTAAAGTTTTTCAATAGGTATAACGTGTTACATAAAAATCAATTTGGATTTAAAGAAGGCATATCAACGCAAGATGCAATAGCTACACTATCCAAAAAACTGTACAGACTAGTTAACGATAAGATCCCTGCCATTTGCATATTTATTGACTTAACCAAAGCTTTCGACACCATTAGTCATGACAAGCTGTTGGAAATACTCGAGCTTAGCGGTATAAGGGGAACTACTTTAGACTTAATGTCGAGCTACCTAAATAACAGAAAGCAGTGTGTCAAAATAGATAACGTGACCAGTCATTATAAAGACGTATGCTATGGGATCCCACAAGGAACTGTTCTTGGGCCAATATTATTTAATATATATATTAATGATTTGTTCTCAATGGATTCGGGAGGTACAGTGTTTAGGATTCGCGGACGATACTGTCATAATTTATGAAGACTCAAGTTGGCCCGCACTTAAAAATAAAATCGAAAATAATCTCACCAACGTACTAGCATATTTCAACACTAAGCTACTCACAGTTAACTCTGAGAAAACTAGTTTTGTACCTTTCGCATCCTATAGAAACCATATGCCACAATATAGCGAAATAAATGTCAGAATAGGAAACTATACGACAACCATTAAACGTCAAAGCAGCACTAAATATCTGGGAATATATATTGATCAAAATCTCAGATGGGATGTTCAAATCGAATATGTGACAAAGAAAATAAGATGCCTCATTCCAAAATTCAAATGTCTTAGAAACATCCTTAATACAGATTGCATGAGAATCTTATACTTCGCACTTGTGCAGTCACATCTTTGCTATGGAATACTTGGCTGGGGAGGAGCTGGCTTCACTTACATAAAGAACTTGGAGATTGCCCAAAAATATTTATTAAAAATTCTTTATAGCAAGAGCAAAACTCATCCATCTGATGAGCTATACCATGAGTCTGGAATTATGGACATTAGGCAAACCTTTATTTATAATTGCATGGTATACTACTTTAAAAATAAATCATTTCATGAGGAAATCGCTCACAAATATGACACTCGCCAGAAAGTTGCTAGGCACATAATGGTACCTAGGCCGGAAAAGTCATTATTGCAACGCTCCTGGATTTATCTCTGCCCCAAATTGTACAACGAAATGCCTGCTGATTATAAGTTAATACGAAACATTGCTTTATTCAAGAAAAAAATCTCAGTCTGGGTGAAAGGTATATCCAGGAGCATAATACATGATTATATAGAAGGCAAAACACTATATATGTCACTCTCACAACCCAAATGAAGTCACCGTTTTTAGAATAATTGCTCCATTCTATTAATTTATTATTTTATCATATTTTATTGTACGTTATTATATTTTATTAGATTTTATTATGTTTTATTGTAGTCACTTATATGCTTATACCGTATCTCATGTATGATGGGCATTTAATTTTATTCTATTCTATGCTTGATATATCCTTGTCTTTACTGCTCACAACACAAATGCAACTACCAGTTTTGTAATGTCATTTTAGTTTTTATTGTCCTTTATCTTAGATGTACTCTTTTTTTAGTTTAGCCTTTTGATTTATGTTATTTATTATTGAATTTAGTTAAAGTGCCACAATGTCAGTTCAAGGTTTTCGCATTTCTACCAGTGATCGTGTAACACCAAATTATGTCAGTGCGTGCGTAAGAAGTGCATAGTGCATTAGCAAGTACTTGATAGACTTTATTTATATCTGCGGATAGACAACTGACAATAATGGGATGGCCACACACAAGATTTTTCTTTCGTGGCATTACTTTATTTGTCATTAATACTCCTTTGTGGCAACAGTCTTTGAAAATTTATATTTGCATAATTGAATTTGACAAATAAATTATTATTATTATTATTATTATTATTCTATTAAGTGACTGGCTCGTCTTAATTAAACTGGCACAGCTGAACTTAGATTGCTCACGTTTCGTGAACTTCTCAATTTTTTGGGAATATATCTCCGTTCCGTAACAGCTTGTATGCTTGATATAATCATCCATCGACTACTAACAAGTAAATCGTAAATTTTGTTCATTAGTCGGTCCATCTCAGGTATAATTACCAGTGTTATATAAAAATGACGTGAGGTAGTTGACTCTGCACTTCCCACTCAACGTTATCAGTTCATCAAAGATTTGTTCGGCACAGTAAGTCCTTCCGAGAGCGAGAGAGAGAGAGCGAGAGGAGAGAGAGAGAGGAGCGGAGGGAGGAGCGAGAGAGAGGAGAGAGCGGAGGGGAGAGGGGAGGGGGAGGAAGCGGGAGGAGGGGAGCGAGAGAGAGAGGAGAGGAGAGAGAGAGAGGAGCGCGGGAGGAGAGAGAGCGAGAGAGCGATGAGAGAGAGCGCCGGAGAGAGGAGAGGGAGAGAGGAGAGGAGAGAGAGAGAGAGAGGAGAGAGCGAGAGCGAGAGAGAGAGAGAGAGAGCTGCGAGAGGAGAGAGTGAGCGAGAGAGAGAGAGAGGGAGAGAGAGAGAGAACCGGCGATGCAGTCAGAGCCATCACACGCAGTTTCAATTAATGGGGTTCGAAGTGTATTAGTAAACATCAAGGAAACGTAGTTTGGACTGGACATAATTTCAAAAATTGCAAAGCTTTTGCGTCAGTGGCATCGCAGTAACACTGAGTACAATTTCATCAAAAACCGGGTGGTACTTCTCAACTTATAGGCAGTTATAAGATTAGCGGACACATACTCGTAGATGGACGGACTGACAGACAGACAGACCGACGGAATTGAGTGACAAGGTTTTTCTTGATGTAGATGTGATATAATATCCAAAAAGCATAACATCTCATTTTCGAATTTTACTCCAGTAGGCGTGGGAAGTAAAAATTGTTGTAGCCCGTGTGTAATGATTTTGCGTTAGCTCGGGGTGCGCATCACAGGTTAAATTCACTCAGCGTATTGAGCCTGCTCTCAATAGCGTCGTGGGGCTCCTTTGTTTGATGCGGCTATCAGAGGATATGTGTATGTGAGGATGATGTATCTAGAAGAAGTGGTTTTTGAATCAAGCCGTAAATAAAGATGTGGCGTCAGTTGCCTCGTTCCGTATGGACTGATTTGGTCTGCTGTGAACATATATCATATCCTTATCAATTATAAAGGAATTCCAGGCAAACATCAATCATCGTAAATATAAACTGAGATGTTTACGGACAATACGAAATATTGGAACAATTGTATGAGGATTTGGTAAGGAATTCCATACATAGCAGATTATTTGGTCATCTTTACCAATTCCTGCGATATTTATATGCAGTGAAATACGTTGCCATCCGGGTTGTCTTCTGCATATACTTGGTTACTATAATATACCTATTGTATCTGCAACTGTCTCGGCAAAAATGCTATTATCTTGGTCTCTAAAGGGTACTTCTTTATGTCTTTACTTTTTTGTTGCAATCTTATTCATTGCATGGAAAATGCAACCTATCAATAAAATCAGAGTGTTATTTCATGAAACTCTGTAGTGAAAATGAGCACAAACTATCAATATTTGATAACAGAGATGTGTTGTTTTTATGCGTTCAATTTAAACAATTTTGAACGAATCCATTAACAAAAAAGCTACACACATATTGTGCGGGAAGAGCACTCAATTAATATAATTGCTTAATCCATTGACAAAATAAATTAGAATTTCACATAACGATTCTATTGCAGTGCCGGCTCGAGGGTTTCTGACACCCTCAGCGAGTGTATTGCTAGTTGAACCCTCCCCCGTAATGAAGCATATAATGAATTTGCGGTTCATTCTTAAATAAAAATATAATCTATTCACGTTTTCAGAGGGTGACTACAACAAAGTTTACATACATTGGAAACCTAAATTAATTCATACTTCACAAGTACGTTTCTCTTGTCAAAAATGCTACTTTGTAGTAAACCATAGAACCCAACCCTGATTGTATGTATCAAGCGTTGATAGGAGTATTTGGTACTGGTGAGCTGTGAAAGAGCAGCTTACATATGCTGAGTTGCCTGTCAGTTATTCATTTTTTTACAAGGACCTTAAAAGTCCATATACGAATTAATAAATTTTAAATCTGGACCTTTTTGCCATGATGGTTGCCAACCATATTATTATTAGTATGAGCATTATAATGA